TATGGATAGATTAGGTGTCAATCTGTAAATAGGAGTAAGTAGATTGCTTTTTCTTCTATTTTTTGTTTTCTTGCTGAGCTGGAGATCTATTGCAACAAGATCTTTTTCCTGCTTCTTTCCGTTTTGTATAAGGACCTTTTTGGTTGTTTTTTTCAGCAAGCAATTCAGTGAGTGCTTCATTTTTTCCCACGTCTCTCGGTGGTGTTTGTTTCCTTTTTATAATATGGTATCAGAGTGGTTTGGTTCCTCTGCCAATCTCTAGAAAATTTTCACTACCCGTCCAATGACTAGGGCCGGCAGAAATCCCAACAATCGCGTGGTTATGTGTTCCTCAGCTCCATCGGCCATGGAGGATTCAGCGAGCCCTTTCTTCCTGCACAATGGAGACCACCCAGGAATCATTTTGGTTTCCAATCCACTCGCTGGATCCAATTTCAACACCTGGAGCCGATCCATGATTATGGCTTTGACTGCCAAGAACAAGATCAGATTCGTTGATGGGAGCATTCCACGACCTGAAGCAGACGATCTCCTCTCTGGCGTGTGGATACGCTGCAACAGCATGGTGATTTCCTGGATCTTGAATGCTGTAAGTCGAGACATAGCCTGCTGGTTCCCAAATCGAATTCGGGTGCGGAAGCGTGGGGATGAAAAACAGCGGATTGTGTATAACAAAATTTTTCATAAAACTTTTGAGATACTCTATAGATTATATTAATTTATGCATGAATAAATTAATCACATTAATTTACATCATTCAGGGATCAACCGGAAAATACCTGGAAGCCGACTCGGATGATAACTTGAATTTCTTTGACCACGAACAGTCCTTGCTCCAAGTTTTGTGTTTAGAATACCAAAGTCTTCCACGTCAATTCCTTGATTCCACGTAGACGTGTGTGTGGGCACACGTGAGACAAAAATAGGTTTCTGAAACACTCGAATTTCCACAAACACCGACGCATGCACGATGTGGAATTTTTGGAGAAAAATTTTGTTCTCTATTTTTCACTCTATGAGAATTTCGGCCACACTCAATTAGGGCTGAATAATGTGTCAAAAATTGTCTCTACAATTTTCTATCTTTCTCATATTTAAAGAGAAGAAGTCAAACTTCAAAATAGAATGAACAAAAAATCCCTTCCCCTTATCCACTTAACGGCCGGCCACCCTCCTAGGGTTTATCCCTATGTGTGGCGCCAATCTCAGATAGGGAAGGAAGAGATTTTATCCTTTATCCAGTAGTCCAATTTTAATTTAGATTCACATTCGAATTTAAGTCAAACTTAAATTAATTTGAATTCTAAATTGAACAACTTATCAAATAAGTTTAAATGGAAAAATCTAGATATGTTCAAATTCAAATTTAAATAATCACATTATTTAAATAA